AAATGGTTTAATTATAAGATCATACATAGAATTCTTGGAACTTGTAAATTGTTGTTTTTATCTAAAATTAAAGATAATCCACTGTGCACTGTCTGTAATCTTGAACAGGAAACGTTGAAGTATCTTTTTTATTACTGTCTTCCTGTTAACCCCCCGTTCACACAGAACTGCGACTCTACGGCGATCATCCCGATCAAGCCACGATCTGAATTTTTTTTGGATCGGGGCAGATCGCAGCCGATCGGCGTCTAAATAGAGCAATTTGGCAAATTATGGTCTTCGCTACGACGATACTACGATGTCCCTACGTCAAACGCGCTGCTTACAAGCTTCTACTACGATGTTACGCAGACCGTTGCCGACAAGCAGCCGTGTTTAGTGCGTTTACGCTACGCAGCCACTACGACATTGAAGACCATACTACGACGCTACACAGACCTAGATGATTGTACCGCGATGTCACTACGGTGGTGCCGATCATATTACGATTGCATTACGCTTCTAGTACGATTTTGGTGATGATGTAAATATATCTTGAAACTGAAGATTTTTGTAGTACAATTTTAGCGATGATACATATTTTGCGACCGCAGTTTTTTTCCGGCCTAAATACCACATGGTTTAGGGCATTTTCAATTATTATAACTGTAACAAGATGTGAAAATGCTCAATTGTAAATGATCATCAAGTATAGTATCACCCTTTACATGTAGTTAACAGATGATGATTGGTCAAATATCAGCGGTATAAGTACAAACTCTTGTCTAATAGGTCGTGATATGATCGGCGGAAGGTCATTGTAGGTCTTCGTAGGATCTTCAGGAACGTAGAGAGATCGTAGTGAGAACGTAGTACGAACGTAGAGGGAGCGTTGTATGAGCGTGCTTGGTAAGTTCCTACGCTCTCACCGCGCTTTTACTACGATCATGAAGATCTCTCTACGATGCTTCCGCGCTGCTTGTACGATTACGACGCTTCTACTACGCTCTTTTTACGACTTCACCCCGATTCTTGTTGGCCACGATCCCTCTACGCTTGTTTTGAACATGTTCAAAATAAGCGTGATGAGAGCGTAGAGCTCTCCGATCATGAAGACTCTACTGCGATCATACTACGCTTCTGACGACCCCACGACGTTCCTCCTGCGATTTGTCACGATCGGCCACGCTTTTGACCACACTTTGATCGTAGTAGAAGCGGCGTCTATGTGTGAACGGGGGGTAAGGAACATGGGATTGTTTAGAAGAATGGATTTTACAAAAAACCGGAAAAAATATTAACTTAGACCCAACTTCTGTTATATTAGGTATTTCTGGCAAAGAAAACACATCTTTCATCTTTAAATGTCATTATATTGATTGTAAAACAGTATATATACCAAAAATCTAGAAACTGTAAACCTTTGATATTCAACGAAGTAAAAAATGTAATATATAAATACTATAATTTCGAAAAATACTTGTTTGCATTAAATATGGAAGACACCCAGTTCAAAAAGAGATGGCAATTGTTAGACAATCTATTTGAAAAATGATCAGCTTTGTATAACATTCATAAAAGGACATAGTAACTTTTACTTTTGTTTGTTTGGTTTTTTTCTTTCTTTTTAGCTCACCTGAGCCGAAGGCTCAAGTGAGCTTTTCTGATCAAAATTTGTCCGTTGTCTGTCGTCGTCGTCGTTGTCGTCGTTGTTGTCGTCGTTGTCGTTAACTTTTCACATTTTCATCTTCTTCTCAAGAACCACTGGGCCAATTTCAACCAAACTTGGCACAAAGTATCCTTGGGTAAAGGGGATTCAAGTTTGTTCAAATGAAGGGCCACGCCCTTTTCCAAGGGGAGATAATCATGAATTTGTTAAAAATTAATGGCATTTTTAAAAAATCTTCTTCTCCAGAACCGCTGGGCCAGGAAAGATGAAACTCATGTGGAAGCATCCTCAGGTAGTGTAGATTCAAGTTTGTTCAATTCATGACCCCAGGGGCAAGGTTGGGGCCAAAATGGCCGACCCAAGTTTTACATAGGAATATATAGGAAAAATCTTTAAAAATCTTCTTCTCTAGAACCACTGGGCCAGGAAAGATGAAACTCATGTGGATTCATCCTGAGGTAGTGTACATTCAAGTTTGTTCAATTCATGACCCCTGGGGTAAGGGTGGGGCCACAATGGCAGATCAAAGTTTTACATAGGAATATATTGGAAAAATCTTTAAAAATCTTCTTCTCAAGAACCACTGGGCCAGGAAAGATGAAACTCATGTGGAATCATCCTTAGGTAGTGTAGATTCAAGTTTGTTCAAATCATGACCCCCGGCCCTGGGGATAGGGTGGGGCCAAAATGGCCGACCCAAGTTTTACATAGGGATATATAGGGAAACCTTTTAAAATCTTCTTTTCAAGTACTTCAAAGCTATGATTAGTGATACCCGGGGTATTTATATGGAATCATCCTCAGGTAGTGTAGATTCTAGTTTGTTCAAATGATGAACGCCTGGAAGGGGTGGGGGAGTAAATTCAAGCCCGATATGCTCAGGTGAGCGCTGTGGCCCCTGGGCCTCTTGTTTATAAATATACTTATAGTGATAGTAAACACAGTGTAATATGTAAACATGCATATATATGTATATTGTTTCATCTTTTTGTACAATTCATAAATAGGTGATACTGAAATGGATGAGTGAGGTGGAAGAATCAGTGAGTGAATGTTTAATAAAAATCCACAATGATTATATACATACATGTATACTGTTATTTGAAAGTTAAAATGTGGAAATAAAAAAAAAAAAAGAAGAAGAATTTTCAGATGTAAATGAAATATACATATTTAATTTCAATGTATAAATAATGACAGCCGGTAGCTAGTTCTAAAGATTAATCGACCGGTGATTAAGAGGAAGATAAGTAATGATTATTTTCTTGAAAAATTGTTAAAAAAAAATCAAATGCAATTTCTATAAAAATTTTCATTGCAATATATGATGAAAAATATTTGCATCGAAATATTGGAGGAATTATGGTTCGAACGGTACCTGGGAAAAACGGCACCTAGTGAAAATGGCACCTGGATTATGCAAAACGGCACTTGGTCAAAACGGCACTTAATGAAAACGGCACTTAGTCAAAACGGCACTTGGTCAAAATGGCACTTATAGAAAAAAGTATATATGCAATGATAATTTAATATACATGTATATATTGATAAATATTTGTTGTGAGTATATATAAAGATGTATTATATAAATTTTTTTTCTGGGAGGGTCCATTTTTTTCCCCCAAGAAAACAATTAATTCATGTATATACACTGTAATATGTTTTTATGAAATCTATGTGATATCTATATGATTAAATTCTGTATGAACCTATGCATATACATACTTTCCTCCACAGATTCATACATTTAATACCAAATTTTAATGATTTTTTTTATTTTATTCCTTGAAATATCCGTATCTTCATCTTTTACAGTACTGTAGTCTCCTTTTTTTTAATTAATGAAATAACAGCATTGTTTTTAAATAAAACGTTATTTTCAAAAAACAAGATTATAAACAATAGCAGCAGCATTTTATCATCTATAGAAATTATTACTTAAAACAAGATCAACATTTTATCATCTTGATATTTGATCAATATTATTAAATATTTACATTTCCAATGTCTTTGTCCGAGATAAAATTACCAATTGTAAATGTAATTCATTTCTTCATGAAGCTGTTGGTTCCTTGATGGGCGTGGCTTAAAAAAGAAAGAATCACGTGATGGACCCCCCTTTCGCTGTGTTTGGCGTAGTAATACACAATATAAAAATTAGTGTTTTCTCAATCTTGTCTTTGATGCATACAACACTAATAAAAATCAATTTCATATGACCTTTGTTATGTTTTTGATAAAATTTAGAGAATTTTTTTCCCAAGAAAATTAATCTATGGTAGTCTGTTCATCGTCTGTTAATCTCTAACAATCGTCTGATTAATCGATCATTTCTAAAAAAGCAGCGATGGCAGAGGAAGCATCCAATGATCAGTTTAAGTTTGGCAGTTTTGATTTGGATCCTAACATAGACATTCTTGAAATGTCGGATTCCGATTTTGACAATTTCTTATCTAACTATTCAATAACAGAGATCGAACCCGATCAGGCCACAAAAGGCAGTGTAATAAATCCTGAACCCGTAGACTCATCTCTACCACCTCCGGATGTTCCAGAAAGCAACGGAAAACTGCGATTTAAACGAGTAACTGAAGAAGAATTAGCTCAGATCAAAGATTTAAATCAATCGAGAGCCACAAAGATAAATACCAGATGGGGGTTAAAGATCCTAACAAGTATTGTAGTGATTATTTCTCCTGCAGCATATAACACAACAAAAATAACCCATATTATGCAGTTAAATTATTATTTTCAAGTACATAACTGTCAAAACATGAGCATCATTGTGTGTATATTAAATTTGTAGACTGGCACATAGAAACGTTTGGTGTACCCCTTGATATGGCTACAGTCGGGGAGGAAGAACTGGCAGAAAAACTAGGTCGATTTTACTGTGAGGCAAAGCCACAACATGACCCAAAGAAAAAACATACTGAGTACCACAAAAACACTATGAAATCCATGCGAGGCGCCATCAACAGACATCTATCCGACATTGGTCGAAATATTGACATAGTTAATGACAAAGCATTTAAAATGGCTAATAAATATCTGACCGGTCTTCTAAAGCAAAGAATGAGTACAGGAAACTCTCGCCCAACAACTCATACGGAGGTCATTCCAAAAAGTGATTTACAAAAAATATCTGCTTACCTTGAAAGTGCGTATTCATCTCCAATAAATTTACGTTTGGCTGTTTGGTTTAATATTGCCGTGCATTTTGTGTCCAGGGGACTGGAGTTCCATCACCAACTCAGAGTAGATTCCTTCAATTTCAAAGTCGACGAAGAGGGCTCAACATACGTATGTTTGAATCATGAAACAAAACAAAAAAATTACCAAGGCGGTCTACAGAATGTTGAAGCGATGAACGACAAGAGAATGTATGCAACGAAATCCAGGACGTGTCCGGTGGAAATGCTAAAATTCTTCATGTCAAAAACTGATCAAAACGCAACCCACCTTTTCAATAAGTGCACCAAAGAAGCCCTTTCTTCTTCTTTCAATACTTGTAATGTATGGTATACAGATCAGCCTATGAAACAACGGTCATTTGTAAATTTCCTTCCTGAAATTTGCAAGGCTGCCGGATGTAAGCGGTACACTGCACACTGTCTGCGGGCGACAGCCATACAAACAATGAATGACGCTGGATTTGAGGTGAGACATATAATGTACTACTCTGGACATAGAAACGAAGCGTCTATCAGAAGCTACAATAGAGAACTATCTACTTCACAGAAAAAAACTGCCAGCGCAACGTTGTCAACAATGTCTAGAACTACCGTCAGTACCCAAAATCTCGGCGAAAAGTTAGATGAACGCGAGGATCAAAATCTCCTAGAAACTCCAGACCGTGATTCACACAATCTTCAAATCGTTCCACATTCAAATTTACCCACCACTGATGTCCTAAACGTATCCACTATGCAAGCCAATTCATCTGGAATTTTAAACAGCTCCCGGTTTGAGAACTGTAAAATTACCATCAATGTGAATCCTTGCAAAGAATAAACTTCCGCGACAGAAATAAGGCCAAACTTGTTTGTTTTGAAATCAACCAATTTAAAGTACAGTATTTGTGTTTTTTTTATATTGCTAAAATTTTCAATAAATTTTGAACCTTTGATACTTATTAAATGTTTATATTTTATTAACCAGAACTTTTTAAAAAAATGTGTCAACTGCATGACGTAAGTAGAGGCGGGGCGAGAGAGAGAGAAAGAGAGAGAGAAATAGGCAGGTCGTAGAGCACGTGATTTACGGAATCACGAGAAAATCATGTAAATATTAGGAATAACTGTCTTTTTTCTTGGAATTCATGATGATGATCAATGGCTGGGCTTGCGTGATAATTTTATGCATAAACGCCTTCGGCGTTTATGCAAATTATCACGCAAGCCCATCCATTGATCACATCATGAATCCCAAGAAAAAGACAGTTATTCCTTAAATATAAATAAATTGATATTCTTCAGTTATAAAAAGAACCAAACAAATGTTGTTGTTCTTCTATGTACAGGTTTTATATTGTAAAAAACTTAATAGTAAATGTTGTATGGCTATTCAGATTTTATGTACAGTTTAGAGTACAGTTTAGAGATGAATATCTAAGTTTTCCTAACTTGT